TCAGTCTACCATGAGTAAAACCGTATGGCATTTGACACACCAGTGGCACAGCATTCAGCATCACGGCAAGCCCAAGTTATCTCAGTTCAGCAAACTGACAGACAAGTGCTGTACGCCTGAGAACAATGTTCTCCCCAAACACAGTTAACACCAGGGCAGAGGGCCTGTGACCCTTGGGCCCAGCTGAGTTTGTTTGTTTGGTTGGGTTTTTTATTATTCTAGTTTATTTACAAAATTTGAATACATTGTTTCCAGAACAGATTCTTCCAATTTCCCTCATCCTCCCACCCAACAAATTGTATAATCCATGATCAGTCTCCCTTCCCCCTACACATTCTCATCCCTCTGCTTCCACCCTCCACTCCCCTTTTTATTCTTATTCTATAATAATGGTTTTATACAGTATTTGTCCTCGTGGGACTGAATTAGTTCACTCGACATAATGCTCTCCAGTCCCTCCCAAGTCAGGTAATAATTTACAGAATCATTGTTCCTGCATGCCAACTGAGTTTTAAATACAAAGGCCTGCCTACCAAGTCCTGATTTATTTAAGCAAGAGGCTTCCAGCTCACAGCCAATTGTTAACTATATCAAAATGGCCAATCAGCTTATACCTGATTGTTAATAAAATAAAAACTGATCTTGTGGTGATAAAATGCCATCTGCACTTGCCTTTCCGTCACCTCCCGGTGCCTCTGGGTGTGTCAGAGTCTAGAATACTCCCCATGATTTTAGTGACTGGGTTTTGTTTTGATTTTTTTAAGTAATTCGATTGCCAGGCCTTTCTTCTGAGGTGCGGCTAGGTGGATTCACCTTGCCAGCTTCGTGGTCAGCGGGGAGGTGTGATAACCGTTTATACCTGAAAACTCCTTTGGTACAATAAAAACAGCATAAAGCTCAGCATCGTGAAGTGTTAGATGCAGAGGCCCGTCACGGCTTTCACAGTGTGTGCAAACATCATTGCTATCTGGTTCCAGAACGTTCTCGTTATCCCAGACGTAAAGCCTGCAACCACGAGTCGTCCCTCCCCATCATCACCCCCTGCCCCATTTTCTGTCCCTCATTTCCGTGTTCTGGGCTCTCATGCAAATGAAATCCTATAGTCTGGCTTTTTTTCCCCCAATCAGCATAACGTTTTCAAGTCTCATCCATGTAATAGCGTGAATAGTAGCTTTGTTCCTTTTGTGGGACAAAGTGTTGTGTGAATGAGCCGTGTTGAGTTTATCCAGTCGTCTGTTGATGCGAGTTGGGTTGTTTTTCTATGGCTGGGTAATATTCCGTTATGTGGAAGAACCACATTGTGTACTGACAGAGGCTTGGGCTGTATATTTTTTGTCTGAATAGCGTTCTAGTGAATGGATATGTGCTGTTTTGTGCTTATCCATTCATCCGTTGCTGGACGTGTGTGTTGTTTCTTTTTATTTATCAGTGATCCTCTTTTTGTGGAAATGTGCCATTGTATTTATCCAGTCATCTATTGATGGACGCTTGGACCGAGTTGGGTTGTTTTTTGTTGGTTGTTGTTTTTTTTTTCCTGGCTAAGTAATATTCTGTTGTGTGACTAAACATTGTCCATTGATATGTTGCTAGATTAATGGGCACCTGAATTGCTCCTTTTTCTCTGGCTCTAGTATTCCATTGTGTGGCTGGACCACATTGTCCTTATCTGCCCATCTGTTGATGGACACTTGAGTGATTCATTTTTTCTGGCTGAGTAGTATTCCGTTCTGTGGATGTGTACCGTGGTGTGCTGATGGCATGTGTGTGGTTTCCACCTTTTGACCATCAGGAGTAGCGTTTCCTGTGTTTTCAGTTGTTCACGTGACTTCACTCTTCTGTAAAGAGTCTCAAGTCCATGTGAAGCCCCAGGTGCCCTCTCTGCTCCTCTGCTTGTTCTGTTAACACCTTATCAAGCTGCCAGCCAACTTAGCCAGTGCCGCGTGAACCTCGTTCATTCTCAGCCCGGGTGGACGTGATATTCTAGATTATTTGAGCATGAACAGAGTCACCGCCCAGCTTAAAAATCCTTGTTATCTGTGCCCAGTGTCTCCATGAGAAATGACAGCATGAGGTGTTTGAACTCTGACTTCTCAGCAACACAGGGGTCAGCGTCAGCCCCGGCTGGCCTCCTCTCTTCACCTCCTTACGTTCTGAACCTGCCTCCTCTCTCCGCCCTCTTACCTGCCTGATACCAGCCACGCCTCCCCAAACACTCTTTCCTCTGCTGAGCTTGAGGATACATTGCAGCGGCCACCATGAGCTCACTGACCACACTTGGGATTACAGGGCTCATTAGGGAAGTGACAGATTACACTTCAGGATCAGAAAGGACTCAGGATTCAGCTTGTCGCTCAGGGCAATCTCCTCTCAGCCATGTCCTCAACGGGCTTCCCTAGCCAAGTATTAGAAACTTTTTTCAGAAACCTACTGCTTTTGAGTTGATTTCAAATCACAACAGCCCTCCAGTGGATTTCAAAGGCTGTAAATCTTTCTGGGAACAGACTGCCTATCTTTGTCTTGTGGATCTGATGCTGGTAGATTCGAATCCGTGATCTTTTTTGTTAGGTTGTGTAAAGAGTTCTCCACCTGCAAGCTTTCTGCCTGGAGGTGCTTAGCCATCTGCTCTGTGGGCCCAGCAGCCACCATGCTGTCACCTGCTGGTCACCTGACTCTGTTCCTGCCCCCTGTCACCTTTGCTTTTGCTCTTGCTGTGTCATGCCCAGTGTCTCAGCTTTCTAGGGGGGAGACTCCTGTTCAGGGAGGTTCTCAGCTGTGAGAAGAGGACCATAAGACCTGATCCCTGCTCTGTAGATGGACAGAGGCAGGGTGGACTGTGGCCATCTGCAGACGGCCAGGGTGTACCGAGAAGGGACCCTACTGAGAATGTCTTCTCAGGCTGGTTTAATGTCATGTGGCTCCCCCAAAAGCCACTGGGTTCCCATCCTTGGCAAGCATGTGATTTGGGAAGCTGGGAACACATGTTACGAGTTTTCTTCCAAAGCTAGCTCTTTGTGGTGGGGATTCTGGGGCCAGCCTTCCAGGTGTGGCAGGTGAGGGCATTGAGGGGACACATCACCCTTTCCTGTGTTCCTTGGGGACCGTGAAGAGGAAGGGAGGAGTGGAGGTGCCACGCTGACAGGAGGGCAGTTTGTCCAGTGCCAGCACCCCTCAGACAGTAGGCCTCATGCCTCAGTCTCCTGCCCCCCCACTGCCTAACCTTGAGTTGGGGGCCAGTGCTGGCCCTGTGTCACCGCTAGCTGACGGTCATAGGGAAGTCAGGACAGGCTCCGTCTCGCTCATTTGTTCACTTAGCAAACACAGACACAGCTCTTCTGGGTGTTGGGCTCGGAATCACGGGCAAAAGAAACCCCACAAATGCCGGGACCCACTGCCCTCAGTTCTGGCTCTGACTCTGAGACAGATTTCCAAGGCTCACATCTCTACAGAAGCAGACAGCCCATCTTCCTGAGGGGCTGGTGGGTTTAAATGCCAGGGTAGTTGAGACGCCCAGTGCTTAGTCCACTGAGCCACCAGGGAGCCCTGGAGACTTTGATTAAGCAGCCGCCTGTGAATTGATTCCACGGCACAGTAATCCTATAGAACAGGGGGGCCCTGCCTGGTGGTGTTTACGGAATCTGACTGCATCGTCTTTCTCCCGTGGAACGGCTGCTGGGTTTGAACCAGTGTCCTCTTGGCTGGCATTTGGGTGCTTTACCCACAGCTCCACAATCCAGGCCTCTTTGACAGACTCCCTGCCAGAGATATAAGGGTAGGGGGTGGGGCTGTCACTGGGTAGAGCATGCTGGGAAAGTGCGGAGGGGACGGGCCAGCTTCTGGGGATGTGGCCGCTGCAGGCCTTTGGACTCACCTGCTTGGTTTCAGCCTCCGCTCTCCCCATCTTGAAATCGTCAATAGCTTTTCAAGTCGTTATTTGTTGAGACTACAGAGATGCACGTTTTTTCATGTCAGTGGTGTTGGTGACACGCTGTGAGTAGGGTTCCTCGCCTGTTTTCTGTGTGGTTCCTCACTCAGCCACAGAGACTTGGTGTCCCCTGAGCCTCATAGCCAGCTTTTTGGGGGGGTTGCCCTTGTCAGTGGGATCCCATATAATAGATTGTTCTTAAAAAAAGCACATTGCTCAATCCCAGAGGTGTGCGGTTCAAATCCACCAGATGCTCTGCTGGAGGAGGAGGGATAATCTCCTCCTGGATCAGTCAGATCTGATTTGACGGTACACACACACCCCCCACACACACACACACATTGCTCTTTTTACTAATCACTTTCCTTTGTTTCAGAAGATTTCCAGGGATATGTTTTGGCTTAAAGATGATCTCAAGGCTGTAGTTTCATCCAGCAGGTCTGGATCCGTGAGGATGTGAAATTCTGTCTGCATTTCCCCCACTTTTTGATTAGGATTCTTCTCCAGGACCTTTGACCAGATGTTCCATGGCGGCAGCTGGGCACCCTCTAGTTCTTCTGATCTCTGGCAGAGGAGGGAAATTCTCGGTGACTACGAGAAGGAATAACATACTTTGATTGTGCGCCGTATCCCCAAACCATGTAGTAGGTCGTACATGGTCAGTGGTTATTTGAGAAGTGGATATTTGAGCAGACTTGGAAAGGAAGAAGACCTTGAGAGCTGAGAAAGCGTGTTCCAGTAAACTTGAAGGATGGGAGGAGGAAGACCTTGGGAGCCAGGAAAGTGTGTTAGATCCATGAGAATGGGAAATGCTGTTCCCTCTTTTGATCAAGATTCTTTTATAGGAACTTTGAACAGACGATATTCTAGGTACAACAGCTGGTGCAAAGGCCCTGAGGCACGAGCACCGTATTGGAGTCAAGGCGTCTGGTGGTAGTGGTGGTGGTGGGTGGTGGTCCTGTGGGGACCTGGGCTGTGGAGAGGCAGCCTCACCAGCCCTCTGGGTTCATCAGCTGCGTCTGAGCGCCTGTCCCCTCGGAGCCCACCTCCCCGTGACCCCTCTCTGCTTGATCCACAGGCTGACTCCTCACTACATCTACCCGCCAGCCATCCTGCAGCCCAGCCTGTTGGTCCCAGCGGCTCCTGTCCCCTCACTGTCCTCGCCTTACATCGAGTACACGCCGGCCAACCCTGCCTTTGCCCAGTACCCGCCAGCCGCCTATGACCAGTACCCGTACTCAGCCTCGCCCGCCCCGGCGGCCAGCTTCGTGGGCTACAGCTACCCGGCCGCCCTGCCGCAGGCCCTCCCGGGCACCGCCTCTGCGGCCACCACCTTCGTGCAGTACCAGCCACCGCATCTGCAGCCAGACAGGTTGCAGTGAGGCTGTGCAGACACCAGGATGTCCCTGGGGCCGAGAGGAGCAAGTGCCCCTGTGTCCTGAGGCCCCTGGGGCACCCCGCTGCTCCCTGAGAAGCTCAACACTGGCTCAAGCCCCAGGGCCTGCAAGATCTCGAAGGAGGGCTTGAAGATGTTAAAGATGCAACCCCAAATTCCTGGCGCGCACAGCCACCTCCTTGCACCTCACCCTGTCCCTCCACACTGTCCCCACCATGTCCCTCAGGCCACCAGCCCCTCGCCAGAGGTGCCTTACTTGAGGCAAGCAGGGACACTGGCTGACAATGGATTGCTCCCGTACGAGCTGTGAGCCACAGCCGAGGGCTCACGGGGTGCACTGAAGCCTCATCTTTTGATGCCTCGTTTTCTACCCAGTGGTAACGGTCAGCTGCTGTAAGCCCAGGCCGCCAACCTCGGGGACCAGCTGGCCGCCCCTTTCAGTCGAAGCACTGTGACGATTTTTCTTACCGTAATTATTTTGCTACTAAGATGATTTCAGATTTTTCAGTCTATTTTTTAAACAGAGACACTCGCCACTCAGCATCCAGACCTGTTGGCGACTGAGCCGTGTCCTGGTCGCTGGCCCTGCCCCAGGGCAGTGACCGGATTTCTGCTGGCCAGAGCCGGAGCCCCTGGAGGTGGGCGTCGCTGAGACGGGCTGTGCCTTATGCTGTGGGGACACACGGTGAGGCAGCTTGGGTGGTCGCAGGAGGGTCATTGCAGAGCTGGCCCCGCACTGACAGCACCCACCACATGGACAGAGAGCAGGAGGTGGGCCGTGGGGGTGCTGGCCGGGGGGCATAGCTGGCAGCCAGTGGGCACTCACCCTTGGCTCCTGCTCTACGCCGCCCAGGCTGTTGGAGGAGCTGAGTTGGCATCTGCCTTGCGGGGCAGGTCAAGAGTTCTAAGCGGCTCAGGTAGGGGCGTTTGGGGGCTACAAGGAGAGTAGGATGAAAGAGGGAGGGGTCCCAGCCACCGAGATAGCCGCCATGGGGAGGTGGGAGGTGGGGAGCTGGGGGTGTCCCTTAGACCTACCTCACGCCACGATAGGTCTCAGTGGCCAGGGGGGAGCACACGCTTGGTGACCCCTGGGCCAAAGCCCCAGACAATGAAGGTAGCTAATATAATATTTTTATTAGAATGTTCTGATTATAAAAATAAAACTTGTTTCCTTAAAGAACAGGCCTGTCATTTTCCTCCTTGCGGGCCGGGTGCCTGGGTCCCACTCAGGTGATGAGCCTGTTTCCCGCTCCCCTCCTGCTGCCAGGGCCGGGGCTGTGACCGCTGTCACCGAGCGGCCTCCCGGCTTTGCTAGACCTGGGCCATTGGTCAGCACCGGGCCTGTCCAGGGAGCCGGCCGAAAAGGGGCCGCTGGGGAGTTGGGCTGAGTGCCTGCTCCGCACAGTTGCTTGTGGAGAGTGCCCAGCAGGCAGCTGGCTTTGCAGAGACATGTTTCCCTGTCCGTGTGGACGGACAGCCTCGAGTGTGGGTGTCTGAATCCTGGACACCCTGATCTGCAGCTGGCCCCCTGCACCTTTCAGTGGTGCCCAGGGTCCCTGCCTTTCCCCACTGGCTGGAGACAGGACTGTCCTCTCCCCCTGGTCCAGGCTGTCTTGGGCAGGAGCAGGTTCCCTGTCTGTCCATATCAGGGAACCCTCTGTTGGACGGAGTGTGTCTCTCCACTCAGGCCCCGCCTTCCTTGGCTGTAAGCTGACGGACGCTGGTAGGGGACGGGTCAGGGAGGCTAAGGGGCCCCATCTGGAGTGGGGGGGAAGACACTGCTGCACTGCTGATAACGGCTGGACTGGGAGGGGCCCCGGGGTTATCAGGCAGGCCACACGGGTCAGCACGCTTCCTGTCGCTATCGGCTGGGGCAGCCTCTGGGGCCAAACTGCACTAAACGATGGTGTGAGCATCCCAGGCTGGGGGCTCTGCACCTCAGGGGACCAGGGAGAGATTCAAGAACCCTCTAAGCTGAGCAGAGCAGGCAGGGGCGAGCCAGTGAAATGACCACAGTGACCACCCCGGGACATCAGTGGTAGCCCACCTGCTGAGTGTGTGCTAATCCCGTTAATTCAGCAAATTCTGGCAATGGCCTAATTTAGCAGAGGAGCCTGTGGAGGTGCTCGGGAGGGCAGACTTGGCGACGGGACCAGGGGCCCTGCCTGCCTGGTCTGACTGGAGGAGCTCCGCCACCCCCACTTTCTGAACCTCAGCAGTGAAGGGGTCATGGTGGTCCCCCTGGGCAGGGACTGACTGTCCCTTCTCCTTGGTGTCCCATGAAGCCAGTGCGAACCAGACACCAGGGTGGAGGTCGGCCTGGGGTGAGGCTGAGCTGACTCGAACTCTTTCCTGTCCTCACTTTGACCCAGAACACCAAGCCTGCTGCTGCCGGCCAGTTCCACCTCTCAGTGACCCTCCCGGCCTGTCCACGCAGCTTCCAGAGCTGTAGTCTCGGAGCAGACAGCCGTGGTGTTCTCCGGTAGAGCGACTGACAGGCTCGAAGGCCAATCTTTTGGTTAACATCTAAGTACTTATTAATGCACTGCCATTCATTGTCAGACAGACAGACATGCACAGAGAAACCGTAACAGACACCCTGGAGGGACATGTATCTATACATACGCACAGATATTAACATCCTGATTCACATGCACACACACATCTGAGCTTATACACACCCTATGAACGCACATCCCGGAGGGTCACATAGCTATACATGTGCACACATTCATTCATTAACAGACACACACGCCTCTGAGCTTATACACACCCAGAGAACTATTAACACATACCCCAGAGGGACGCACAGACATGCACAGACGTAAACAGAAACACCACCCCCCACATGCATACACACCTGCAGAGACATACGCCCCTCGTGGCCGTGTGCAAAGATGACACAGATGCACAGGTAGACAGACATGATGTGATACACAGATGTTTTTGATACACAGATGTTTTTGACTCCATACACACGACCTATGTACAGATGCATGTGACTGAACACATGTTAACAACACGGATGCAGGAGATAGACTTGTGATTCGGGCACTGGGTGAGGGTGAACATGTGACCCAGTTGGGTCAAATAGTGTCCATCTTGGCTGGGGAAGTGGAGGTGAGAGCAGGTGAGCTGGAGCTGTGGGCAGGAGGCGTTCTGATTGTGGAGAGGCAGCAGGCAGAGGGAAGTCCAGGGCCTTGTGACATCCTGGGGCCCTGGATTCAGCTATGCCTCAAGCTAGCCTCCGGACTTTCCTGTTGCAAGACCTTATTCTCTCTTCCACTTAAATCTGTTCAGCTTTGTTTCTCTTCCTTGCAACTGAGAGTCTGGATATGATTTCAGAAGACCTGCATTACTTGGGATTAATTCAGTGACATAAAACAGGCCCAGAATGGCCGTGGTTCTTAACCAGCTACAGATTTGTTTTTCTCTTGTGTTAAAATAAGTTGTGAGGTAGGCAGTCCAGGACTCTGCTGAGACCTCCAACAGTCAGGAGCACCAGTTCCTGTCTCCCACTGCACCCTTTCAGTTCACAGCTTTCTTCCTTCAGACCACCTTAGGGGCCAGAATAGCTGCTGGAGCGCCAGCCATTGTGTCCAAGTTTCAGGCAGCAGAAGAAAGGAGGGGAAAGTTAAAGGAGGTCCTCAAGCTGAGTTACCCCAGGGAGCCTTTCTGGTAGTTGTATCCAGCATTCCTCTTTTCTCTCCTTGGCCAGGACTTAGCACAGCCATTGCTGACTTCAAGGCAGCTATTTACCTGGATGCTTTGCTACCTAGGAAACAGAAGCACTCTGTTACTAAGGAAGAAGGCTGGAGTGGCCGGTTACTGAAGACGGCTTGCATTTTCTGGCCCAGGCGGTGCCAGTGACCACACTTGGAGCCCTGGGGGATAACTCTCCTCCATTCACATGGGCTTTAGGGTGATGTTACTGATTCAGCTGCCTTCATTGTCCAGAGGCCCATTTTACAGACGGGGAAGTTAAGGCTCACTTGACTTGCCTGAAGTTACCTGGCTCCCTGGAGGCTACCTGGGGGGACCCCTTGAGCTCCTGCCTCACTTGTGGGTTTGGGATTTGGTCAGCCAGGAGCCCGGTGCTGACAGCTCACGTGTGTGGACACGTGCCTTGAGTGGGGCATGGGGCACCGCTGGCTGGCTGGGGTACAGTGCTGGGGGCTGCTGGCATGCAGGAAGAGCCGGGCTGGCTGTGGGTGGAGGTGAGAAAACCAGCTGATGCTGGGATGTCCACTACCGCCCTTCCGGGTCCCGTGTGAGCATGGCCACATTGTATCAGCCACACTGCGATACTCCTCTCCAGGACTAAGGTGTTCTCAGTGTCCCAGAGCTCATGGAAGCCCGTATTTCATGAGCACTTCCCACAGCCTGGCAGGCACCTTGCCTGTGCCCCGTTCACAGGTGGAAACGCCAAGGCTGGGGAGATCCCACCACTTGCCCAGAATGGAAGAGGGATTCTGTGGCTCCCGAGACAGCCACCCGAGTGGCCCAAATCTGAGACCACACACTGCTGGGCTCTGGTTACCCCACCCCTCCCTCTCTGCCCGCCTGGTTGCCATCGTATCGCTCACCCCGGCTGCTGAATCACTCTGTCCTTCTCCCAAAGGGCAAAAATACCAAACCAGGGCCCCTCAGCAATGAGTTGGGGACCATCCAGATAGAAAAACAAGACATCTACCCAAAAGTCAGTACAGGGCAGGGGCGGGCACCTGGCTCCCCAGATACCTGGGGCTGCCTGCTGGGGCCGATAAGTGCCCAGCTCTGCTTATCAGCCTGTCCTCTCCCAAGCCTTGGTGCACACATCGGGGTGCGTGGCCACCTGGCAACCAGTGATGGGTGGATCCTTGCCCCCGCCCCCGCCCCAGATGACTGATCCTGGTGCAGGGAAAGAACTCAGAGGAACAAGCTGCCTCTTTGGCTCTAGGATCTCAGTCATATGGTGATTCTGAGAAATTAAAGACAAAAAGGGTTTTCTCCCCCCTCCAAAATTGTATTACTGTTAGAAAAAAACATCAGAATAAAGAAAATTATTAAAATAATCTAGCGAACAAAACAAACAAAGCAAGCCCTCACCCACGGCCTGAAAGTCAGCAAGTCAGCTCTGACCCATTAAGATGTTCCATTGAATTTCTTAGGTTGTAAATCTTAACAGGAGGAGACAGCCCGTCTCTCTGTCTCTCTCTCTCTCTCTCTCTCTCTCTCTCTCTCTCTCTCT